GACAAAATGAGCAAAAATATACCATAAGTTACAAAAAAATTAATAAAAACTATACCAATGTCGTAGAATGCCAAAATCAAACGAAAAAGACGAAATTGTAAAGAAATGAACTTGAAGACTAGATTATTCGCCAAACCATATTCTGTGCCATTTGCTCAACCCTCATGACCACGTAGATTTCATAATGAAAATAACTTTTTTTTTGCAAAACTTTTTTTTATTCGCACGCGCGCATCAGTTTTGGGGCTCCCGGAGGATGTCATCCATATAATCAAATCAACATGGCCTTAGGTACAAAATGAAGGTAGCGATATAGCTATAGGGCGTAGACTTTATTAGAATTTCCATTTGCGGTGGGCCAGCCGCTAGTCATCCTGGAATTCACATTTTTACGCGTATATTTTGTGGGTAAGAAAAAATAAGATAATTCGAGGAGGAACAAGGTCAACGCAAAATTGCTACGGAGACGACATCAAGACAGTTATTTCAGTACGATAAAGAAGATAATTCAAGGAAATACAATGTGAATGCAAACTGCCACGGAGACGGCGTCAAGATGTTTATCAAGGCTCGGTTGATGTAGCCTCCACCAGGCCTTTCTACGGGAATACGGATCATAGAATTCGGCAAAAAAAAAGTAAAATTGGCCAGGGGAGTCCGGCCGCGGGGAGGTAGTTTCTTTCCCTCCACGGCCAGTCAAACCTACAAGGCGCCCAAACTTCCCTGACAAATATTCTCCTATATATAGCCAGTCTGGTAGAGACTAGGATCGAAGATGTTACGAATTAAAAGATTGGCAAGGAAGAAGGAACAAGGAAATGTGGGGGCTGCTGCGAACGTAGCTTGGCAGACGTCATACAGGGAAATACTAACGGAAGGGCAACCCTGGAGCGGATGTTGTGAGGGAAATGAAGACTGTGACTCAGCAAAACAGTGGACTTTGTTTTATCTCAAAGCAGAGATTTCAGAGAAGTCTGGGTAACAGAAAACGTTACGACCTTTCACTCCCAATATCTGCTTGGAGAGTTGACCAATTTTTCATAACGACTAGAGGAAACCTAAGAGTCGATTCAAAGCCACGTCTGGATTACAAATAAAAGATAACGAAGATGTTATCTTTATTGAATATGTTATATATTGAATATGTTTCATATTGAATGTGTTATATTACGACGCGTACTGCACTTATGTAAGGCAATGTAATTGTAAAGCTGTTTTCTAAGATTTTATCAAAAAGTTTCTTTTGAGAATAATGAATGTTTTGAATGAAATGTTTTTCTGTTTCTGAGAAACGCGCTCAGCCATTCCCATCACGCACGTCCCACCTCACCTCGCCTCATCCCGTCTCCTGTTATCTCCCTCCTCCATCTCCCGTACGTCATGTGATGCCCCGGAGCAGGAGACAGTTGCCATGGTTACCTACGTCATAGCTGCGTCATCAGCGAACACGGGGGCTTCCCGACCGCCTTGTTTTCGCACGCGCGCCGGAACGTGCCCTTGGCGATGACATTGACTTGACTTCGAATTCCGGGCACAGATTGAATTTATCATTAAGTTTACAGGCAACTGTGTGCCTGGGGTGCGAATTGGTGAGTTTTATTTTCTAAAAAGACCAAACTTTCAGCCATGGAATGCTGTCTATTCTTAACTTAATATTATATTTGCAATATATGCTTGCAAAACACTGTATCTCTCTCTCTCTCTTCCTCTCCCGCTCCCTCTCTGTCTCTCTCTCCCGCTCCCTCTCCCTCCCTCTGTCTCTCTCTGTCTCTGTCTCTCTCTCTCTCTCTAACGAAGAAGGCAGTCAGAGATGGCAGACTTCCCCCCTTACCTATAGTGCTTTTTTGCAGCCACACAGGCGAAACTAATGTATGTGAATTCCCTGAAGACAGACAGACAGACAGAAAACAATACTTTGGCCCCCTGGGGCAAAGTTATGAATTAAGAGTTTGCAAACACCTTTATAGTGTTGCGGGGCATTACTTACGCATCTTATGTAATAAGTATACATACTTGCAAGGATACCAGAAATCAAATGATTTCACCTACACGGAAAGACTGATTTGTGTTTCGTCGCACGCACTTCCGTGTATTTGAATCATAAAAACACATCGCAACTGCTACTTTCCAATGCAGGGCACGCTACATGTCTGACTGACAACTGGCGTACGTGTAGGTTTGGACCAACGCTACGTACTGACATTCATTCCAGGTTCATTGATTTATTTTGATACAAAACAGCCTGGCACTCCAGGGTCCTAGCGGAGAACTTATGATAGCTTCAAGTGATATTTCTTGCTCAAAATCGTCATTCGAAAATGCTAACTGCTCTGAAGGGGTAACTTCACTGAAGGGTTATGGATGGAATAAAATACAGTAAAAGGAATTATTGATCATAAAGAAAGAATTAACTATATGACACTGTACATTTCCTCAATGGTTCCTGTCTCAACCAGTGGAAGATTAGCTCTTCATTGAGCTATAATAAACTCGTTTAAATATTGTATCTAAAAAAAGGAGAGGGGCGGCAGGAATATATATTGTCATATGTTGACACTGACATGGGTTCTGAGTCTCTGACACACTAGTATGTACGTGAGTCAGTGGGAAATATTTCACAGTGTGCTCAGACACATCCAAGGGCACGGTACCAGACTGTACGGTCAATACTGTATCTTTCCATCATTCGATACTCACACACCCTCCTTCAATGTAACCTGGAATGAACTTTACTATGTATGAGTCTACTAAAATGTAAAACGTTACAATATTGCACTTTCTCTTGTGTCCCGAAATGCAAAACCCAAATGCTGCATGTTGTTATGAGCTAAATAAAAGAATAAGAATAGGAAGAATTGCGTGAAAGGGATTTTGATATTTTCTACACAGAATTATGAATTAGAATGTTGCGGATTAGAGTTATATTGTATCAAAACAGGGACGTTGGATGACCTTGACCTTGACCAACTGAACAATCGAACACGAATTCGAACGTTCGAATACGTGAGCGCGGCGAAACGCAAAGAAGAGAGGAGAGGAGCGCAGCGAACCGCTAATCTGATAACTGAACCCTCCGAGGTGTCTTAAAACAGCGCATACCGCCTTAAAGATAAACCTTATTTGGACACGACACACTTGGCAGCCTAAGAAGTGACAACGAGTTTTAAGCGTGCTCAAACAAGAAGCTTTGACAATGGCTGCCTGTCTTGAAATGTAGAGTCACAACAAAACATTGTTTCACGTGTTCAAGACAGAAATGTTAAGAGAAAATAAAAACAGAACCACTGACGGACAACTAAATATTTTCGTTTTGAAATGACCCCATACAAATCATTATTCTGTAAATTTATCTCTTTAATTTTTCAAATAATATTACTAGTATTTTGGAATATCTAAATTTGACCGCCACTACATTCTGCACACAATTCTTACTATAGGTGTTACTTGCCCAACCCTACGCCTTAGGGATTTATACATACATACATAAGATCACTCGAGCGTTCAAAACCCCATTCAGAAATGTAGGGAGAAGGGAAGCCATGATGGAAATATAAAATGTTAAGCATTTTCTCTTCCAAAATGTGGCTGTAGCTATGAAATCTCTTTGTCTATGAGAAATAACTTTATAATTGAGTACTGCATAGCGATGCGAGTCGAACGCGTGTATTTGTTTTGACTAAACACGATACAATGCCGTGACTCACATCACAACATTGCCACGCCTTGCTTGAGAGGTACATGTATCACCATACAAAATATTAGCCTCCATAACATGCCAAAAACTGTGGGTTTGGGGGTCTTTGGCAGCTTTTATGTGCTATTTTCTTATTGCATATAGACAACATAGCCGGCCTGGTGGAATTACCCCCGTTTTAATAGAACTGGGCTAATCAGAAAACAGCCGAAGACCACCAAATCCACAGTTCTATAAGCCTGCTACGGAGGCTAACACTAAAATATCTCAATCTTAATTTATGTGTACAAGACATTAAAACGTCTAATATTGTTGTTTACTTACAGTTTGAGGTGGGCCGTTGGGTAGTGGCTGTTTCTCTGGATCAGTCGTCATATTCCCCATAGGGATAGATGTGGTCATGGTAGTGGTCGTCACCATCTTTGCTACTTGCCGCTTTGGTCTGAGTCTGAGGAAAAAATAAGTCTTAGACGGACACCTCAGTTTTCCTTGGAATGGAAAGTGTCTGGAGTCTTCGGCGAGACGGTTGAGTGGAGGAGTCTTAAGTCAACGATGCTCTGTTTTCTTGGGCGCTGTCTTGGACTTGGAGTTGGCGGGGTTTTGCTTTCGTCTGCGACCGAAGCTTGCTTGGCGCGGCCACTCGAGTTAAGGTTAGAACAGTCCCGTAGATACGAACCTCACAGGCACTTTATAGTACAACTTCGGTAGAAAACAAAGAGGTTGAAATCTTCTGTTTTGATCCTTCTGGTAGCGTGTCCCCGACTGACTAGTGTTGTAGGGCGGACTGTGTTTTTATATACCAGGATGTGGGTTGCGTTTCCGCTGTGGAGCTGAGCCCTGGAACGATGCAGGAAATGCCAATCAAGATGTGGAAATATTTCTGACACTTCTTCCTCCTCAAAAGCGCAGCGTCTGTGTGTTTCTCTCTCTTCGCTCTTCTCAGATGTGGGCCGACTTGAATTTCTCGTCCAGGAAGAAGATTTTTTTTAAATATTCGAGCCTTCTTCCCTCTCTCTTGCTGTGCTATGAAAATCTCTGCAACGCGATTCTAGTTTTCTACAATCGCGAAAGGCGATTAGTAAAGTCTTGCGGTCCTCTTTCTCTCGGTAGTGTCTGTAGAGTGTCTTCTTGTGGTTGTCGAAGGCTTGGACGTCGGTTGTGTCTTCTTGTTCTTCTCTGTGTGAGTGAAAATTTTCTGCCGGGCGTTGGTTTGGCGGACGTTTTATACCTCGCACTGACGCAGTCACGAGACGGTGGTTACGCACGCATATACTTTATTTCCCGCGTAAAAAAAAAGGTGAGTCGTCGATTTGTTGGCATCGTGCCAATCAAGCGTTGCCGTTAGGACTAGATAAACCGCGTGTCGTCCAGGAAATAGGAGGTAGGGGAAAACCGTTATTCATCGTGAGGGAGGGGCTGTGGAAAACGAAAGTGCCAGTTAAAAAAGCTGGACCACTCAAAGGACTTCAATAAAAATTGTCACATCTTTTCATTCGTTTGTTCATGTTCATTTAGACACGTAGAACGTACTAAAGCCTATGTAGATTTTATTTTTCATATTTTGAATTTGGGGTTCTAATAGAGTTGATTTCTCAACCTGTTATTAGCTAGATCAACTTAATATCTGTCTACATATGATATTTGGAACAATATACTTAAACAATTAGTCCTGTGTCTGTCGTATTTCTATGTATCAATATAACATAGAAAGACTTACTAGTAGATAATAATTGTTTAGAGAAAACGGCTAATACTGTATTTCATATATTAGACTATTTAGAGTACAGTTTGTGTTTACATGTAGCATAATGAACCTTCCCTACTACAACCCGCCGGTTTCTCAGACGAATCCCAAACATACCAGAGGTGAATGGGACCTAAGCTGTCAATCATGACAAATATGGGCATGGCAATGTGTCAGGTTACAGCTCGGTCATCGCTGATTGGGCGATTATTTTAAGGGCGCCAAGGAGTGTCCAGGAATGTGTTCCAAATAAGGGCATTGTACACAACATCACATGTTTCTTCGCCATGTGGCGAGCGCGGGAAAATGACTGTTAGAGTGTGGCTTGGAATGATTCAGACATAAGGCCACAGCATGTAAATTCTATGGATGACATCCTCCACAGACTCCAAATCTAATGTGGGCGAAAAAAAAGACGGGCCGAAAAAAACAAGCTCCTACATTTTAGAATATTGACTCAATCATTGTATAAATGGTTTTGATTCAATGGGAACATCACATATACACAGCCAACATCACATATCACTGCATCAAAGTAAGAAACGAAACATTAAATCATAGCCTTTTCTTGTCTCCTCTCTATACAGTTATCTGCCATCCACCTTGCGGCATAACAACAGACATCTTTGCCCATTTTCGGCACGTTCACCACTGTCAGAAGGCAACAAAATTTCTTCTTTTTTTCCCCACAAAATCAGGCGAAAATCAATGTGCGCGCTGATGTCATCCATGAAAATTACTTGCTGTGGCCTTATAGCGTTGCTTTACTTGGAATGGTTCAGACATAAATGTTAGTTTGGTGAGGGTGGGGTCATTTTCCGAAAATAGAATTCAACATTTGTTGTGAGTGGACTCGGTGTGAGTTAGCTTTATTTGGCACGCACTTGACTTAGGCAAAGTGCCTTGACAAAGTAGTACTATGTATAAACCAAATATTTCTACGTGAGACCGAATAAGATAATACTCGTCCAAATTAAGAAAGACTTGGCGGGCTAACTGGACTCCTGACCCGATATATCCTAAGGCAAATTATTCAACTCATTTTGGCCAATTTCCGATGGTATGCTTTCCATTTGCCCCCTAAAGCAGTACAGCATTCCTAAAGCACACCCTTGTCATACATATCATTCCTAACAATGCCCCTAACCCAGCCAAACAAATACATGTTATGAGTTCACTTTGTTCACCATTATTGTATATAGACTACCATTATTTCTGTTCATATTTTGTTTGGATTCTGTTACCTGTACCTTTGATTCTCTTTTGTTTTAATATGTATAATTTATTCATTCATACATGTACTATGTAATTTCCTTTTCTTTCTGGTTCTTTTTTTCTTTCTCTTTCTCTTCCTTTTCTCTTTTTCTTTTCTCTTCCTTTCTCTTCTTCATACTCTTTCTGTTTCTTTGTCTTTTGCTCTTTTTCTCTTTCCTTTTTCCTTTTTTCTTTCTTAATTTCTTTCTTTCTTTCTTTCTTTATATTCATTTTCGAGAAAGGGAAAGGGACCCCCCCCCAACACTCATGCATTCTACCAATGTCCGTTCCAATCCATGCAGTACGCCCTTGCATTTGTATTCTAACAGTAAAGCGACAACTTACACAGACGCGTAACACCAGCACGTGTATCATGTGACGTTTCGCTGTGCGTACATAGCTTTATATTATTGATTCCGTGACATATGAAAATGTCCAGTGCGATTACTCTCCAAGAAGAGGTTTCGTTCTGAGTTATTCATATTTCTCTAATAATTATTGTGATTTAGTAGTATTTCATTGTAAATGTCAATTTACAATATTCTTAAGTTATTTATATGTATATTATTTTAATTGTTTACTATCATTTTACCATTTCCAATGTACGTGCAATCAGCCCTCGGGTATGAATTTGCAATATTAATAAAGTTATAATTAGTATCATTATTATCGAAATGAAACACATCGCAGCCACTCCAAGAGAACTCTAGAATTTTAGAAAAAGCCGCAGAAAAGAACGAAACACCCCCAAAAACGAGACGTCTACTTGGAGAGTAATCACACTGGACATTTTGATATGACACGGAATCAATAATATAAAGCTATGTACGCACGGCGAAACGTCACATGATTCGCGTGCAAATGTTTCTCGTTTGTGTAACTTGACTTGTGGCTTTACTGTTAGAATACTAAGGCATACTTTCGTTGGTACAAGTTCGTAGAACATATTACTTGCTCATACTGCTTTGTAATCATTCTATTGCTTACATACAGACAAATATGGAGCACTGAGGATGCATGTCTACATTACCTTGTGTACATTAGAAAGCTCGAGGTCTCATCAAGGCCTACCCACCTACAAAGTTCCATGACAATCCATCCATAGCTTCTTGAGTTATAGTGCTAAACCACACACACACACACACACACACACACACACACACACACACACACACACACACACGCACACACACACACACACACACACACGCGCGCGCGCACACACACACGCGCGCAACGTTGCAGACGTTACCAAAAACATAACTCTTTGGCAAAAGGCAACATTTCATCTCTTCACCCTTTGGTTATCCGACAACTTTTTCACATGTTTTTACTTTCACTAGCCAGACAGGTGACACAGGGAACCGGTTTGAGCCAGTTTCCAGGCGTGCGTGTGGGCTTGCCAACTTGTCTGCTCGTGACGCCTCCAGCCAGTGCAGGTTATTAGTATCTGGCTCTGGTCCAAGTCTAGCCTCTACCAGGCTTGAGGAGGCGGCTGGAAAGAGTAGAAATCGGCCAAAATAGAGAGATAAGCATGCCAAGGGAGTATGGCCGTTGAGAGAACAGTTCGCCGCCCCACAAGCGGTAGAGGCTAGTCCAAGTCGTTCTCACTCCCATCACAGGCTGAACCGATGCACTGTTTATTGACACATTCCTGCATGTAGCTTAGCTAGGGGTGGGCTCAAAGGTTCCGTGTCGTTTGCGAAGGAAAATTTCTCTTCGTTTGGCTGATGAAGAGAATAATTTTACCCAATGGAAGGACATAAAGCTGCACTTCAACAGGAAGTCGACAGGGGGTTGATTGTTCCGAAATCACTGAAAAGATCGCTAATGTGTGATAGTTTTAAGAAAAACAAAATCAAACCTTTTAGCAGGTTTTGCAGCGAAGATTCGGCAGAACCGATCGCCGACGATGGTCTACGACATCCCAAGACTGTCATTCGACACTTTCACAACTGTCACAAATGGAACGCGCGTTCGGTGACCCAAAATAGAACGCGCGTTCCGTTCCAATGATGACGTCACATCGAACGCTCGTTCTAGAACCTGTCATATGCCGAACGTGGCAGGGCCCTTAACTCAAGCCATGTTTTCCTGGTGGTGCATCACTCTGCCAAGAAAAATAAGTTGTACACTGAAGATTCGCACATTCCTTTACACAACGGCCAAACTGTCTGTCTTCAGAAACGCGGTCAGACAGACAGACAGGAAAATGGCGGCTTTACAGCGTCTATTTTTGCAAGAGGACTGACTACTCAGGAATATAGCAGATAGATATTACATAGCAGTGTTTGGGGAGGAAGTCATTGATATAGATTTAGTAAATATATAGATAAAACAAGTCATGTTTTGATGAGTGACAGTTGCTGCGAAATTTGATTTTCATAATGAAATGTATCAAACAGAATGTATGCATGAACGAATGAATGAATAAACATTAAGTTCACGCATACATTCTGTTGGAGGAATTTCACAATGAAAATCATAAAGCACGGCACAAAACATTTCCTTTCACAGGGTACATGATTAAAACCGGCCTTGCAATTGTTTGGTTAAGATTTTAATGATAGTTATTAATCATTACCCTGGAGAGTAAAGAAAAACACACGCCCAGGAAACCCTTACACAAAGAACATCCGGCACACCTATGCATGTCTGGTATAATTACTGTTTTACAATAGAGATCATATCCTTACTCAGACAACGTATTAAAGCATTCTTGTGTTGTGATTGTTCAGGGTTTCCTGGTTATGATTATTGTGAATCATAGCAAGGAGCTTTCATCACATGTGATGAAAGCTTGATCATAGTAGCTTCGGGTCCAATAGTATGGTCCGGTGAAAAACTCAAATACTAGTATACTGCGGTCAAAAGAAACAAAGAATGGTCTCTTCATTCATTGATTGATTGATTCATCCATTCATTATGTAGTGTGGACACAATGCATGTTTATAAGTCAAGCATGTACAGTGTGCAACAGAAAATGGACCCGTGAACATTAATGGTTTCAATATTATGAGCATTGAGACTCATGTGCAAATTGTGTGTTTTTGTTTTGGCACGAAATCTGAGAAACCTACAAGTCCTTTCTATCATACGTCTAGGAAGTGAAAGTCACTGAGGTACTAGTATCACACTGTGTGTCACAGTACTGGTGACGTCATGACGCATCCGGCCCTTAC